TATCCTTGTATCCTGGTAGTAGGAAATAGGTTCATAGAGGGGTTCTTTACTACTAGTAGGAAATAGGTAGATCATTCAGTGGTTCTTTACAACTAGTAGGAAATAGATAGATTATAGAGGGGGTATTTACAACTAGTAGGAAATAGATAGATTATAGAGGGGTTCTTTACAACTAGTAGGAAATAGATAGATTATAGAGGGGTTCTTTATAACTAGTAGGAAATAGAAGGATTATAGAGGGGGTATTTACAAGCTTTGATTTATAAAAAAATGTTCTCAAATGTTTATTTAAAAAATAAATTCTCTAGAAATGAAAAGCTTGCGTACTTCAAAAGAATAATACATCTTTAGACATACAAAAAGATTATACTCAAAATAAGCTTGATTCTTTTATATTAATAACTTTTTTTCCAAGGATTTTTAACAATGGAATTAAGTATTAGTAAATAAAGTTTTATTATGATCTATTTTAAGAAAAAAAATTATTAACTTTAAATGAAAAATATAACTAAAACATTTTTTTTTATTAAAATAAGCATATCGCTAACAGTAGCTATCTGATATAAATATTATTGGTCTATAAATATTATCCATGACTAACCCTCTGAAACCTCAAACGGTAAAATGTTTACTTTATACATAAATGTGTTCTTAGCTTGAATTAAATTAAAGGGACTGTACAAGTAATTTTAAGTAACCCTCCATTTATAGAGTGGCATGTCCGATTTAAAACGGTACTCTGAAAAGTTTTGTCTGATTAAGTATACAATTGATATACATGCTTTTTAATTTTTTTAAAACTGATTATCAGAATTAAACACTTTTGAAAGCCAAAAAGCAACGTTGTTCTTTTTCATTCATGGCTAGATTTACATTATTAACTACAATGTTGTGATACGGTCATGTTTCTTTTTAAAATAGAGGCTCTTCAAATTACGAAAGAAGTCCCTTTAAGCTTGACTTCCAACACTGTCCCTTTCAGCTTGACTTCCACCACAGTCCCTTTAAGCTTGGCTTCCACCACAATCCCTTTAAGCTTGGCTTCCACCACAGTCCTTTTAAGCTTGACTTTCACCACAATCCCTTTAAGCTTGACTTCCACCACAGTCCCTTTAAGCTTGACTTCCACCACAATACCTTTAAGCTTGTCTTCCACCACAGTCCCTTTAAGCTTGACTTCCACCACAGTCCCTTTCAGCTTGACTTCCACCACAATCCCTTTAAGCTTGACTTCCACCACAGTCCTTTTAAGCTTGACTTCCACCACAATCCCTTTAAGCTTGACTTCCATTTCAGCTTGACTTCCACCACAATCCCTTTAAGCTTGACTTCCACCACTGTCCGTTTAAGCTTGAATTCAACTACAGTCCCTTTAATGCCTAAAACCTGGAAAACTGAATTGTACAGAGTGATCGGGAAGAACAAGATTGGACCCTCTCCAGCTAGTCTTCCTTCCTATCATATGATGACTCTACGAGAAGCTCCCAGAGGAAAACCAACTATACTCAACACAAGAAACCTTAGGCACACACCAGCTAACAATAGTTCAGGGCACTTCACGCCACATTTTAAGAAAATTGGTTTAAATTTTGCTTTTCAAACCATACAACAACAATTCATGTTTTGTTTACATTAACAATTTATTTGGTCAAAGATGTTCTGTTCTGACTGGCAATGCGAAAATCCACGAACAAATTCCAAAAAATCATGATTAGAAAATTTGACAATCATATCTTTGGTTTTGAAATATACCAGGACAAGAGGTCAGCTTAATATTTCAAAAGCATATTTGGTATTGAAGAGACATGATTTCAAGTGAATCGATCCATTTAAATATTCATAATAGTATGTGAGCCTTTTATGAACACTTTTCAGATAAAAATATAGGGAAAAAAATTGCACAAAATTCCGGACATGCCCCTATTTTAATGGAGGGTCGGAGGGTCACTCAAAATTAAAACAACCATCGGACATCCCGGACACATTTAGATCTATTCAGTTTCACGTTGAATAAATATAATATTGATTTTGCATACATTAACTAATGGATCGTTTTAGATGAATATTTGCTGCAGAGCTGTATTCAGATCTTAATGGAGAATTTTCAATTGTAAAGCCTGAGTTCTACAGATTCAAACATAGATCACTTTTACCTTTTAACAGAAAAGGAAAATATATTTTAGAAAAGAAACTTTGATTGTTTATTTAGTTGTAATGTGATATTGTCATTTTTCTATCTGAAAAAGAAATAGAAAAATTCTTACCTCTGCAAGCTGCTTGAAATAAATCCCTTCTCTAAAAATATTTTCAAGAATCTAAAATCATATTGTATAACCATTCTAAACTTGTATACAACACAGGGGTAGATATGTTTAAGAATTACTCCCCCTCCAGGGGGGAAGGGAATTTTTCTAAATTCTCCGGGGGGATAAAACTGTACATCAAATGTAAATTTTAATACTTTTTCCCAAAAACTGATTTATCCCCCCCCAATTTAACAAATTAAAACCTAAAAACATACTAACATCTGGAAAAAGAATCATTTAAAAAAAGGGGGGGAGATTTTTTTCTCAAAAATATACACCCCTGAATTATAACACCAGAACTTATAATCATAACAACAAAGGATAGAGTGTATAGAATTCACACAATTCAGGATTCAGGGTATAGGCCTACAAGACCTACACAGTAAACATATAGAAGCTGTGTTTAAAGGGACTGTACTCGTAATTAGAATTAAAATGCACCCTTGAAACCTTTCTGTGGGAAAACATGATGGAGTCACCACTGTGTTTCTATCTGACGATGGATTATATTCAAATAATTAATAAAGTGGGATTTATGGTGCAAAGAATAAATTTAAAAAGTTGCAGAAAGAAAAACGAAGATATTTTCGTCATGGCTTATCATTGTGCAGATCAAATCAATATTTAAGAAGTAAAGAACATTTGTAGAATCTTCTTTCATTTGTTTTCTTTCAGAACTGTTCATTAAAAAAGTTGGTAAAACAATTATCTATTAATTAAATCTGAAATTTAAATGTGTAAAAATGGGAATGGGTTTAGAGGGATGACATAAAACCTAACCCATATACACACAAACACACACCTTACCCCGACCCAAGACCATTAGAGTACCATCTTTTATTTTTCTGACTGCTGTGGTGTGTGTAGTTCAAGTTCTATACAGCTAGAGTGGAGGGCCCCAGATCTGGATTCTATAAATGGAGAATTCATTGGATACAGGGGAACAAACATCTATATCTATACATCTTAACATGGCTTTTCACATTTTCAAATGTTATCTTTCTCTAATTAATCATTATATAAATATAATTTTTATTATGTATCCTTGTATCCTGGTATCCTGGTATTCTGGTATCCTGGTATTCTTGTATCCTGGTACCCTTGTATCCTTGTATCCTGGTATCCTTGTATCCTTGTATCTTGGCATCGTTGTATCCTTGTATCCTTGTATCCTTGTATCCTTGTATTCTTGTATCCTGGTATCCCGGTATCCTGGTATCCTTGTATCCTTGTATCCTTGTATCCTGGTATCCCGGTATCCTGGTATCCTTGTATCCTTGTATCCTTGCATCCTTGTATCCTTATATCCTGGTATCCTTGTATCTTGGTATCCTTGTATCCTGGTATCCTTGTATCTTGGTATCCTTGTATCCTGGTATTCTGGTATCCTTGTATCCTGGTATCCCGGTATCCTGGTATCCTTGAATCCTTGTATCCTGGTTTTCGTGTATCCTTGTATCCTGGTATCCGTGTATCCTGGCATTCTGGTATCCTGGTATCCTGGTATCCTGGTATCCTGGTATCCTGGTATCCCGGTATCCTGAAATTTAATTGTATCCTTATATCCTATAATCCTGGTATCCTGGTATCAAAATATTTTTCACTTTTAATCTGCTTTAATCTTTATTCCTGCGTTATCTCTCTATCCAGATATTTTAAATTATGAATTGTCTCTCGTTGAAATCGAAACTTTTAAGATCTTGTAAAAATTTCTCCATTATATCTGCATTTTTACGCTTTAATTTCAAAGAATTTTTATGTATTTTTTCCCGCATTCTTGACATTTTTAATCTAAGATTAGTTTAGGTGTGAACAATAAAGATTTCAATTATTTAATTCCTTTAAGATAAGAGATGTTTGATTCCTAGGATATCCTGGAAGCCTCGAACAAGTTCAATCCGACCACAATTCCTAGATCTCAAGGTTATAATCTATTTATGGCTTGTTTGTCTGTTTGGGTGTCTGTTTGTTTGTATCTAATAAACGTCAAAATGGCTTAACCGATCGGGCCCAAATTTTTGTGGGATCTCGGGTGACCCCGGGGCCGGAAGGTTAACGAGTGATAAAAATTTTAAAAGTTGTATTTAAAGGTTTTTCTTTTTGTAAAAAAAATTTCAAATCTTAAATATCTGCGAAATTTTTCTCTTTGTTTTTCGATGTTACAATGACACCATATGTTCACAATTGAAATAGAAGATGGGCGCGAAGCGAAGCGCCCTAGAAGCCTTGTATAATAAACTAGGTTTTCAGGGCGCTTCGTGTCCATCTTTTATTTTAATAGAACATCATTTTTTCTTTGTATACATTGTAACACAAAAACAAACAAAAAGTTCGCGGATTTTATAAAAAAAATTGGATTTAATGAAAATCGAGTATCTAATGGAGTTTCAATTTTGAAATTTTGACTATCGATAAACCTTGCCTTGGGTCATGTGAGGTCCCACACAACATTTGGGCCCGACTTGTTAAGCCGTTTTGACGTTTTTTGGATACAAACAGACAGACACCCACCCAAACACCAAAACAAGCAAAGTATATATATATAGATAGATAAAATGTATATATACCCCATTATTGATCAGATAATGGTTTATGAATTCTGCATTAGGATGGGGGGGGGGGGATTTGTGGCAACAATGCAAATATTTTGAAAACTTTGCAGTTTGAAGTTTAATTTTTCAAGGGTAACAGTGCAAACATTTTGTAACTTCTAAATTGTTTTGTATCTATCTATGTATATAATCTATATTTTTTGTTTAGTTGTTTGTTTTTCTATTGTTACAACATCTCAATATTGTGGATTGTTGCTAAATATATAGTTATCTGTTTTATACTCCATAAATACCGGAGATACACAATACACATAATACACATGATAATAGAAATATAACAAATGGCAATAAACACATTTCAACAATGTTTTGAGTTCAATCTCAGTTTGTACAGGATTATTCACACGGGATGAGACTTCAAAGACGACTGAATGGAATTTATATTGTCTGTTTTTTATATTTAAAATTCCTAGCAACTGTAAACTTGTTTCTTTCTATTTTCCAAAAGGCATTTTCCCAAGTGGCATCTTCCCAAATGTGCTATTTCCCAAGCGGCAACTTCCAAAAGGGTAGAATGGGGGCTGAGCGCTGTGGCTAGGTGGGCTATGGTACTTAGTTTTCTGCGGCTGAGACAGAATTGGGAAGTTGCTTATGGGGAAAATACCCTTTGGAAGTTGCCGTTTGGGAAAAAGTCCCTGGGAAAGTACCTAACATCGTTAAATATGACAATAAAAGACTAAATTCAATATCATCTTGAGATCGTCATATTTGACGAGTTTTTAGATTGTCTTTACAGTCCCATATACTTTGTGGGTATTGGATAACCCCTGTAGCTGAGTGGAAGGGGCTGGGAGGGGAGGGGGGGGGTTTGACCTAAAATAAATAGAAAAAGAATAAGGGTTCTATTAGCTCTGGTTGTGTTAAACAAATATTGAACTATTGGCGAGTAAAACTAAAAAACTAAATAATATTATAGAAAGCTGAAAAATCAGTTTAAAAATACATTTTTTTTAGATTTCATTGTAGGCCATTACAAAAAACACAGCCCAAGGAAACCAAATGTTTGAATGGGCAAAAAACTGCAAACCAAGCTAGTAGTATACTTGTTTAAAGATAAAATATGTATATTATTAAGATATTATAGTTTATGCATTTTTAAAAACAAATTTCTTAATAATTTTTTATTTATAGAAAGCAAATTCTGACATCTTTATTAGACCAATTTGCGTATACAAATCTGTTGCCGATCATTCTTTACATTATGAGTATGACAGCTTGTTCAAAAAAGAGAAGCGTATTTTCCCTCAATTCGGTCAGAAATAGCCTTATTTGTGGTTGAGGATGAATTATAGTCCGTACTCTCAATGTACATTTATTGTAACAATCCATCAGAATTAATCTAATTAGGGCGGGGGAGGAATGCATTCCCGAGCTTGTACTTTAGTACTTTTTATCTATTTGTTAACCCTGTCCCCCGATTGGGATATTTTTGTCTAATATCATGTCTCTAGTAAAACTTGTCAAAGCCTGCTTATTAAAACATTGAGACCTCTATCTTTAATGGTTAGGGTGCGAGGAAGAATATAATAAAGTTCAAAAAGTATGTGGGAACAATTTTCTAAAATAGTTTTTTTTTCTTATGACAGATATTAAAATTACATTACAGTCATTTTTCCAAGGGCTTTTTAAATATATAAATTTTGTGTAACTTAATTAATAAAAAAGTTATTAACCATTTCTTATTATTTTTTAACACCGACCCGCCGTTTGACTGTCCTCCAGAGTCCTACCCAAGTTATTTAGAAAAACCACAAGGGGGGATGGAAATCGTGAGAAAGTCATAGAGACTTTAAGCGTAGTTATAATTAAAAATTCATGCAAAGATTGCAACGGTGAATTCAAAAAACTTTATCTGATTAATAATGTGGAAGATATTGTCGTTCATTCTAGGCAAAACGCGTTTAATTCTGATAATTCTGTTTTCCTGCAGTAAAAATGCGCAAGTCACTTTTGCTGATAAACCACAATTGAAAATAATCAGTTTTTAGAATTATTAACATTGATATTTAATTGATTATGGAATATATAGGATCCTGGTCTTCTGGAGTACAGGTTGACAGGACTAAAGGCCTTCACGTTCTATCTTATATCTCTACAGGTATACATAGATAGCTAACCACACTTTAAACACATTGAACTAGGGGAGAGCCAAATTTATGCGATATTGCTGGTACGACTTTTGGACCTTGAAGCTCCTTAAGTTTTGATTGCACAAATCTAAGAAAAACAAAGGAATTATGCATTTCCAATTAATTCACTCTGATTTTAAAATTCCTATAACCCAATGTTGTAGACCTTAGATATTTTAAACTATCAATTTTGTTAGATAATTTTAAATTTTTAAAGGTTTACAATAAGGGTTGCAAAGAAATAGCGTATTCGAAAAATTGAGTTTGTGACAAAGACCCAATTCATTTATTCGGTTACATATTAGAAATTGATAACAACTTTTTTTAGAAATTGGAAACTATTAGAAATTCAAAACTTTTTATTCTCATTTTATACAGAGAAATTATATTAGATTTAAATCAAAAAACATTTTAATTTTGCGCCAAATTTACTTTAGTTTGACGTGGAGACATCGAACATTATATTTTTGGATAGTGGGTCTGCGTGAGGTTAGGGAGATACCAACCTTTTTAAATAAACTGTTCAAATATACTGATTTAAAGTTTGAATTTATTGAATAATGAAGAATGATCAGTTACCAATTATTTGCATCAGGTGTAGTGGTGCAAAATTTACTCCAAAATTAGATGTTAAAAGAGATTGTAAAATAGTTTTAAAGGAATTGAGTCTTTGCCACAAACTCTAAATTCATAATCCCAATATCCCTATATCTTTAGAATTCAATGTCGCAAATATTTGATATTTCAAACTTACATTATTTTATATTACATAATTCATAGTTTGAAATATCTAAGGTCTACTTAATTATTTACGATCCGAGTGGATAATGCAACTCCATGGCTTTGTGTGGGTCCTACTCCTACGCTCTTAGATTAAAGACGTGTTTAATCTTTTTCTCCTTATAATTTTATACGTAACACATACTAGGAAAATCAGTACCGATCGATATAGAGTTTTATCGATATCAGCCTATACCCCTTTAATTTTTCGCAAACACTTTAATCTAGGTTATGAATCCTGAAGGGCTTGGTCCCCCTGCCAGTGTAACAGTAACTACTGATGAAGGAGGTAATTTTTCTTCTTTATGTCTTGTCAAATAATTTTCTATTTTGATTTTGGATCCAACTTTAAAGATCTTAAACGAAATAACCAACGATATACAATCCTAAATTAAAGAAACGACATCAGCAGAACATGTCAGCTTACTTAGATTCAAATTCTGTAAAAAATCGATTTAAAAATAAAACTAAGGTTGAGTTTTTAAATTTATTGTATAATTTGGCTAACAATAGACCTATTCAAACTGTAACCTCCCGTTAAGCCGACTTAAAAGCAGCTAAAACCATCTATATATATATATATATAAGCATATAAACTATATAATTCAAAACGGAACAGTACATAAAATAAATCAGTTCCTTCCAGGGATAATATAGTGCAACCCGACTTAACTGCAGCTAAACCAGAATATGGGGTCGAACAGAGTTTAAATGTTTGTTTTGTACACTGTACTGTATTAAAAGTAGGATTGGTAAATAAAAACAGTTGATAGATGTGAGTAGGACTAGACATCATTAACAGGGGAACGGTCTTGCTTTCAATTAACAAACGGTAATTCCCATTAACTATACACATCATTTGAAGATATTAACGAACGCAGAACTGGAACTATCATAGATTAACGAATAAGGAACTGGAACTATCATAGATTAACGAATTAGGAACTGGAATTTAACGAACAGGAACAAATAATTTTTGGATGGAAAAAGACCTTTTATTCTTAATTATCGTCACAATTAACAATATCGTTAACTAACAAATATTGTAAACAATTAACCATCGTTATAACGACCACAACGTCAAAATAGTATAATTTATTGACAATCGTTAATTTAAAAAACGGAACGAATATTTTTGGAACGTAAACATTAAAAAAGAACCCCTGAGAGCATAAAATTTGTTCAGTTAATAGTAAAATATCTTTAAAAGTTGGAGACCATGAAAAATTGCTTGTCTTTCAACTATTTTTTAAGAATTTGATCTGTCTAATGCACACGATTCAAACTTAGAACTTTTTTAAGTTAAAGTATTGAAACCTTAAATTTGAATGCAATTTAATAAAATAAAATATTATATTTTATGCTCTATTAAACGGACATACTCTGCATATCAGGTCCAAGACCCTGAATATGGTTATGGTTATGGTAGGAGTAAAAATAAAACCGCTGACTTCCATAGTGTTAAAATTGTCCAAGGGGGGGAAATTTAAATAAAATCCAGCGAAATGTTGCGTTTACTTGACAGTCTTTTTTTGAAAATGAAGCAGAAATGCATTTATTTGAAAGGTGTTTGAGTAAGTAATCTTTTTAATAGATCTATTTCAAGTTCCAATCATAAGTTTCAGTGAAACCAACCAAATATGTCAATCAAACATTCCAAAATAACTTAGAAATCGAGAATTATAAAACTTCTGAAGCTTTTGTATGGGATAGCATATCTTATGCTTCGGCCACACCGGACTAACCAGAGTTCTTCGATTTCTTCTAGCTATTTAAAATCATACGCGTTATGGTCTATAATTAAAAAACCTTTAAACTTACGGATTTGATTTTTAAAAACTTTTTATTCAAAATGCATACGCCAACAAAAAAGTATATAAGACAAAGGCTAAAAAATGATGTTTGATAGAACAGTTTTCTTGAATATTGGCAGAACCGTTAAATCCACGTGCGGCAGCAGAACTCAATATCGACTGTGCAAACTTATATTTTGAATTGTTACACCTTAATTCGGGGAAAGTTGTCTACCCTTAGCACCAAGAGGTAACCAACGTCTAAGGTTGAATCGATAAAAACCAAATTTTAAGTGATCCTCTATGCAAAGATGGTCCGATTTACAACTGTACCCTTAGAAGTTTGGTCTGGTCAAGTATGAATTCAATATTAATGTTTGTCATTCTGCTCTACAAAAATGACTCATTTCTACTGAAGAAAAACTTAAAGCAATAATCAGATTTTAACATTTTTCGAACAAGAAAAACGACAGTATATATACCCCATTATTGATCAGATAATGGTTTCAGTTACAGGCCATTCTAGACCATTTTTTAAAACACTTTTAACTCTTGCTCTTTCTGCGGCATTTTATCTTCTTCAGTAATAAAACAATTACATAACAAAATTTCCAGGATTAATCATTTTTTTCCGTGGATTTTGAAAAATCGAAATTTGTTAAGGCAATTTTTTTTAGTTCAGGCCATTATAAACCTCTTGAGGGATCATGTAAGGTTCCACAAAAAAGTTTGTTTAAATTAATTCAGCCGTTCTCACGTTTAACGGATGCAGATTTATTTAATAACAGACAGAGTGAATGGGTTTTAAATCCTTATGTAGGATATCTCTTGTTTTGACTATTCTTAGATTTCATATCTGAGCTAGAGTTAGATTCCACCCTACCAATCTGAGTTAGAGTTAGATTCCACCCTACCAATCTGAGCTAGAGTTAGATTCCACCCTACCAATCTGAGCTAGAGTTAGATTCCACCCTACCAATCTGAGCTAGACTTAGATTCCACCCTACCAATCTGAGTTAGAGTTAGATTCCACCCTACCAATCTGAGCTAGAGTTAGATTCCACCCAGTTAGAGTTAGATTCCACCCTACCAATCTGAGCTAGACTTAGATTCCACCCTACCAATCTGAGTTAGAGTTAGATTCCACCCTACCAATCTGAGTTAGATTCTATTCTACCAATCTGGGCTAGAGTTAGATTCTATTCTACCAATCTTAGCTTGAGTTTTAATTTTTGACGGAAGGAGCTAGTGTCTTTTCTCAAACGTGAACTGGCCAACAACCAACGTTCGGCCGAAAAGATTTTGGTTCATCTGCCCATGATTAAACCAAATCCGTTCATTCAAAAGTAATCAGCTTTGGATGTATTGTTTCTCGACTCCATCACCCCACTTTAAAAATTACATGATCTGAGCCGGTAAAACATGTATTGTATAGTATAGTAGTATAGCTATGTCTCAAAATATATATTTATAAACGAAACAAAAGTACATGAATTGATCCAGCACTATGTTGTATTATATGCGGGTTACTAATGAGTGTGTATTTCCGTTCTTACTTTGTATTATGCTCAACACTATAAAGTAAATAAACACTAGGATTGGACTTTCTTGTGCTTTACGTTTCAAGCTTTGTGCGAAGAAATTAAGAACAACTTCAAAAAAAACCTTGATATTCTTAAAATACAGAAAACGAAAATGAAAACATGAAATTCCATTTTTTTCATAGTTGTTAGATATATGTTTTTTGTATTTTATAGTTCCTTCAAGCCCTGTCAACTTAACAATCATCACGATCACCAACAGCGGGCTGATTATGCAATGGAATAAACCGGAAGCACCAAACGGAAATATATCCGGTTACAGACTGTTCTATGCCGCAGAACAATTTACAAATGTGAAGACGATCAACTCGAGTGCTGATATTGTGACTGGGGAGATAGAAGGACTAGGTAACTTTTTATCATTCAAGATTTACAAGAAAAATCATGTGAAAATGTTGTATAAAGAAAATAATTCTTTGTATTTTAAATCTCTATATCTTTGCAACCCAATGTCGCGCAGACCTTAGATTTTCCAAACTATGACTTCTGTTCTGTTTGATTAAATATTTCAAGTTTGAAATATCAAAGGTTTACACCTCTAGGTTGCAAAGATATAAGGATAAGAACATTTAAGTTTGTGGAAAAGACTCAATTCCTTTACGACCATTTGCATTATATATTATCGCCCTATTTTCAATTATTTCATTTTAAATTTCAAAATTGATAAAAAGTTTATGTCGCATCTTGGAAACATCAATATACAACATTTTTTCTTTACACTTACGGAAAATTTAAGAGAAGGCCTTTTTTTAAAGTTTAATCTTTTTTGGTACACCATGTAGAATATTGAATATACAGTGTACAGCTGGTGTACACTGTATCAATAATGTCCTATATTGAATATATAATATATATTATATATTATAAATATAACATATATATATATATATATATATTGGATACAGGCATCAAGTACACAGTCTGTTTAATATTCTCCATTCTTCTTTCTTCCATGGTCATCTGTCATAAGATGTACAGGGGTATACATAATGGATGAGACTGTAAAGATGACCTGAAACTCTTCCTCTTAAATATAGTTTACAGTTTAATAGCTTAAAGGGAGTGACCGGCTATGTAATGTAGTTTAACTGAGTATGCAGTGTTGTGGAAAACTTCTTTCGGATTCATTTGAGACGTATTAAACTTTTTAAAGATCTGTAAATCCTGAGTTTGAGCGCAAATTCGATGTTAAAAACTCCTACTTTGGGGGTGGATCAATTAATAAAGCGACAGAGGAGTTTTTTATTCTTAATTGTACATAAATTAGTTTTCTTGGCATAGCAATCTCTGTTTGTATTTCTGTTTGTTTGATGTGCGATCATGGCCCATGAACCTCTGGACCGAAGTGCCTCAAATTTTGATCGGGGAACTTGGAGTCTTTCTCAAAGAATCTAATTTTATAATTCCTATATCTTTGCAAGCTGATGGTTTAGAGCCTAGATATTTTGAATTTTGAATTCTGTTAGATCAAATAATTTAAATCGGATATATTAAAGGTTTACGCGCTAAGATTGCAAATTTTCATAAAATAATGATTTAATTTGTTGTATACCGAGATGCGTATTTATTTATCGGTAGATGCGTATTTTTATCTATAGATACAGATTTATTTTATCCCTAAATGCGTATTTATTTTATTCTTAAATGCGTATTTTTTATCGCTATATGCGTATTTTTGTCTGTAGATGCGTACAGGAAATACCATGTGTTCGTGAAAGCTTTCAATTCAAGAAATGAGGGAAATTCGTCAGAAACCATTCAGGTAGGACATAAAATAGGACAATATAATAGGTAGGACTTTAGTTTTATTAGGACAAGAATAGGTAGAACATAGTTTACTTAAGACAATAATATGACTTTAGTTTTATTAGGACAAGAATAGGTAGAACATAGTTTACTTAAGACAATAATATGTAGGTCATAGTTTACTTAGGACAATAATATGTAGGTCATAGTTTACTTAGGACAATAATAGGTAGAACATAGTTTACTTAAGACAATAATAGGTAGGACATAGTTTACTTAGGACAATAATAGAATGAACATAGTTTACTAAGGACAATAATAGGTAGAACATAGTTTACTTAAGACAATAATAGGTAGAACATAGTTTACTTAGGACAATTATAGGTAACACATAGTTTATGTAAGTCAAGAATAGGTAAAACCTAGTTTACTTAGGACAATAATAGGTAGTATTATAGTTTTATTAGGACAAGAATAAGTAGGACATAGTTTTAAAAGAACAAGAATAATCGTAGGAAATCGTTTTTTTAGGACAAGAACAGAGCCTCATAGATTTATTAGGACAATAATAGGTAGAACATAGTTTCCTTAGAACAATAACAGGTAGAACAAAGTTTACTNAATAGATGATTAAGGATAAAGTTTTATTAGGACAAGAATAGATGATTAAGGATAAAGTTTTATTAGGACAAGAGGGAACAAATAAGTAAAGAATAAAACATGTCAGAACACAATACAACAAGCACATCACTTTGTCAGAACACAATACAACAAGCACATCACTTTGTCAGGACACAATACAACAAGCACATCACTTTGTCAGGACACAATACAACAAGCTCATCACTTTGTCAGAACACAATACAACAAGCACATCACTTTGTCAGGACAAAATTTAGTTTTATGAGGGTTCTTCCAGGAAACAAAATCAATTATAAATTTTGCAAAATATTTTAAGTACTGCATTCACAGGACAAGACTGCGAGTATTTTAAGACAAGATTCGTGTAGGATTCATTTAGTTTGGATGAGAGATATGGGATTAAAGAAAACTATGAACCATAGACAAAGTATCAGTTTTTATTTGAATATGAGTAAAGAATAGAATAAAGAAAATTGAATTGACCTGAATAATAGTTTCTTCAACTTCAAACTCTGATTTAAAAGGTTTTTATGAATTCTAAGTTTAAAGCTTCTTGGATAAAGTTTAAATGAGTGTTCTAACAAGTAGCAGGAGGCTAAACTATTCTGGGATTTATTCTACAATCTAAAGGATAGAATAGGAATATATTTCAATCTCGAAACTTAAGGAAATTCTGTATATTTAAATTCAAATCCGAATTCTATCAGTGTTAACATTTTCAAACACAAATTAAACCCTTTTAAGATTGAAGCAGGGATGTTTAAAAAAATTATTATGTTTTGATAAACGAATTAAATTTAAAGAAATACGCTTTTTTGAAGAGTTCAAATAAAATCTTTGGAACATTTTTTTGGAAAACGATTTTGGGTACTGCTAAGAACTAGTTTTATCAACACAATATCAAAGTTTGAAAAAAAGATCGGGTTTGCTTGACAAGACAGGAAGAATCATTTTGTTTTGTTCGCGATATTACCAGTTTCTTAGTTGTCATAATACGTCACAGTTACAGGGACTTTAGGTACAATTTTAATTGTAAGTACAATTTTCATGCAAAGATGGCAATGTCCGATTTACAACGGTATCATTCAAATCGTTATCTGGTCAAGTAAGAATTGTATATCAATGTTTGTAATCTCACATTTTTACTGCAGGACACATTGAGGAATTATCAGAATTAAAAACGTTTATTATACCTTAAAAACAACCATATCTTCCACATTATTGTTTAAGCTTAGGCTTTACAGTTACTGTTGTGAATCCGACATTGCCATCTTTGTATGGAGGGTCACTTGAAATTGTGCTCACAAAACCTTTTGTATTACAATATTAGAAAGGAACTGAGTACTTGCTACAAATGCTGAAATTTGTCACAAATGTATCGTAGACCTTTGATATTTCAAACTATAAGTTATGTCAGATCAAATAGTTTAAGTTTAAAATATCAAAGATTTACACCATCAGGTTGCAAAGATAAAGAGGTTACACAATTTGACTTTGTGGCAAGAACTCAGTTCCTTTATAAAAAAATGATTTTTGCTTGAAAACATTATGTTTTTAATTTAGGTAGATATACATTCTTCCATTCATTTTGTTTCTATATATGGGGTAAACGTATAGATTTCAAGTGGAGGGGGGAGATAGTATTTCATATTCCCCTAATTATACACTTTTTTCTTTTCACACATTGTATTTTTTGGTAAGAGAGGTGAAAGGGATGAAAAAAGTAAAAAAAGGTGAAACTATAAATCTTTATTCTTTTTAGATTGAAAAAAATAGCTAAATTTGCCGGCGTTGACCGTGGATTTTTTAAAGCACTTAAACTAAAAAAATTCTTTAGCCTATGTTACCCCGGGGTTACCTTAAAAAAATTCTTTAGTCTATGTTACCCCGGGGTTACCTTAAAAAGTTTCAGCCAATTTGGTCAAGCCGTTTGGCCAGTCATAGCTAACATATATATAAATGTCCAGATATAACCTATTTAATAAAACAATAGATAAATGAGCAAAGAGCGTTATTGTATCGATAAGCTCATTAAACAAACTAATAAGTACAACTTCCGTTTTACTTACTTACTTTATTTCCCTAGGATCAAATATTTTTTCCCTGCAATTGATGGAAGATTCTGAAAATTTTATTGAAACGTTTTAAAATTTATGTAGCCGTAAAATTTTTTTTTATAATTTCTTCCTGAATATAAGAAAATAGTTTCAGACATTCAGTCATTGTGCTCGATCCTCATAACACCAATTCTAAAATATAAAATATCAATTCTGAAATATAAAATATCAATTCTTAAAAATATATAACGATGAAAGGGTTGAAGGAAGGATATGTTTCTTGCAATCACTTTTTTACTCCTAAACAGTTGTCAAACGCCCCCCTCTAGATTTTTTGGCCTAGCACTATCACCGTGAAAGTATTTGACTGTAAATAAATAAGAATTCAACGGATTTTTTGTCAATTTTTTTTTATGCATAAGGTATGGTACAGGGCGGTAAAAAGTCCGGTCTATGTAAAAAAAATCTTTGTTTGAAAAAAAAATATTTTTCACATTTTTTTCTTCAATGAGCTGGTCTTGAAATTTGTTTGCTATGAACATGCATTACAACCCTAAACCTATTCTCTATAATGGCCTTTTTCTAGAGGGGGTGTGGGATGCCCCCCACCCCAGGCTATACATAGATTCAACTAATTCTGCTAACTTTTAAGTCCAGATTCAGACCACCCAGCTTGTATAGGGTTAAACAACAAACAAGTGAATGCATAAATAAAAACAAATATCGATAATATGACATTTACTGTGCAAATCGCATTGAACTAAAAATTTATGCTACATTACTGGTACCTTTTTGTGACCTTATATCAATAAATCTAAGCTTGAAATATCTAAGAATTACACTATCAGGTTGCAAACACAAAGGGATTAAAAAATTTGAGTATAAGAGTATCCAGTTACATAATAGAAATTAAAATTTTTGTTTAACTCAATAGTTTTTTAATAAGAGGTGTTATGATTTAAAACATTTAAAATTTCCATCTTTTATTCAACTTTTTTATTAAGTGAAAAGAGCAGGTTTAGTTATGTATTTACTGTTATAAAATACATCCTAGGAAGATTTAAAGTTTTTTAAATCTGAAACAAATTTTTATAAACAGTCAAAGAAATGTAAAATAAAACTGTAAGATGCAGTAAAAGGTTTTTAAGAAGTTCATATTAGATTCTTCTTATATAACTTGAATTGACATATATGTCTCCTATTATTATAGAATTCTCAGATTTGAACCTTTCTTGCCCACTGAAGACGTTTGTGCGTTTAAAGAGTGACATAGCGATTCACAACAGTACCTTTTTTGCCTTTGTCTCGGTCAAGGATGAATGAAATATCGTTCATTTTTGTTGACAAATTTCTAAAGTTCCACCACAGGTCTGCCGCGTTAGTAATTGTAAATTGGCGGTACAGTCCAAACTAGGACTGCAAAGGTTGGCCCAGCTCGAATATTTAAATGTACACCGGTTGTACGTGGTTCAATAATGTTTTTCTGTTAAAGAGAAAAACGACCATATCGGACATTCCCTTTTTTTTAATGAGCGGTCACTTGAAATTGGGTGTACAGTCCCTTAAACCTATATTATTCTATTGTGATTAGAAAGTTGATCTTTCTTCAACAGCTTCTTGTTTGGCCTGGTCTAAATCTGGTGAAAACGAACTGTTAAAAGATCTATTTAAAATTGAAAATGTTCTTTCAGACTTTAAGATTTCCTTTTTATTGAAAAGAATGAGAATAGGGATTTCTTTGAACCCGTTTAATTTACAACACTTACAGTCTTCAGATTATATAACTGAAAGAAGTGAATCTGAACCTTAAACACTTTTTGGTCGCAAATCTCATAGCTGTTATGCCTGATTTAAAACATTTGTTAAAGAGGCATGCCTGATTCAAAGCATTTTTAAAGTGTCATGCCTGATTCAAAACATTTGTCAAGTGGCATGCCTGGTTCAAAACATTTGTTAAAGAGGCATGCCTGATTCAAAGCATTTTTAAAGTGGCATGCCTGATTCAAAACATTTGTCAAGTGGCATGCCTGGTTCAAAACATTTGTTAAAGAGGCATGCCTGATTCAAAACACTTGTCAAATGGCATGCCCGGTTCAAAACATTTGTCAATTGGCACGCCTGATTCAAAAGATTTGTCAAGTGGCATGCCTGGTTCAAAACATTTGTTAAAGAGGCATGCCTGATTTAACACATTTGTCAAGTGGCATGCCTGATTTAAAAAATTTGTAAAGTGGTACGCCTGATTCAAAACATTTGTCAAGTGGCATGCCTGGTTCAAAACATTTGTTAAAGAGGCATGCCTGATTCAAAACATTTGTTAAGTGGCATGCCTGATTCAAAAGTATGATGTAGATAATAATATCCTTATTTTTTAACCTGGAAAATGAGCACAGAAAGTTTAAAACCGAAATTGATCAGACATGCCTTCTATATAAATGGAGGGTCTACACTCCACAGTCCCTTAGTAGAACAAATTCAGGTGCCCCGTGGTTTCTTTATTAGATGGGCATTGTAATTTTATTGTCAGATGAAACTTCCAGAGAATTCAATCATAAATTCTCAATCTCAATATTCTCATTTGTACAATATTGGACTTATTAAAAGCATTTGATTTTTTAAATTCATTATTCATAAGATTTCTTTAAATTGCTTTAGGTTTCTAGTACTTCATTTTTAGAGAAACATTAAAGGGAGTGACCGGCAATGTATGGTAGTTGAATTGAGCATGTATTAACTAGTATTGTGGAGAAATTTTTAGGAATCATTTCAGACATAGAAAACGTTTTAATGATGTATAATTACTGAGTTTGAGGATAAAGTCGACGTTCAGAACAGACATTACAGAATAATAATAACTGAATAAATTACTTGTTTTCGACAATAATAGTTAATAATTAATTTTTGAACCTGCTCCTAAACAAATAATTTTTACTACATTGTTCGGCGTCGTTATAGAAGGATTTTTTAAAAACCGATTCTCAAAATTATCCCTCAAAAATGAACAATCTTTGAGGATTTTAACGATTGAATTTATTTGCACTTTTGCTAAACAAATCCAAACCGTAAAATCGTCTCATAGGTCTTAAAGAATCCAAAAAAAATTTCTCCACATTACTACATTTTCAGTTCAACTACCATACATTGCCAGTCAGTTCCTTTAAATCAAGAAAAATTGAATATGTTTAAGGCAAGACTGTAAAAAACTTAAAAACTTAAAAACAGATGAGAGAAAATCTTCAATCTTGCTAACAGTCCCTTTTCTAGGTACCGTGTTTACTACCGGAGAAAGGACGAAGAGTCCTGGAGAAAAAGAGAGATAATCGTCCCACCTGTACCTTCAGGATCCCCCCCAGAGAGAATTCTTCTCGTGAACCTAACAGGAAAATATCAGATCTGAAAACTAGAAAACAATTCCCCAATTTACAATTTTTTTAAATAGTATTTCATCAATATTGTACGCGTAATTTCAAGTGACCCTTCATACAAAGATGTCTATGTCCGATTAACAACGATACCCTTGAAACCTTTGTCTGATAAATATAAGATTTTAAATTAAGTCGTATAATTCCTCTATTATTACCTGCAGTAGAAATGCACAAATCACTTTTGCAGAGAAACCATTATTAACATTGATATCTAATTCATATTTGATCAGACAAAGCTTAAAGGGTACCGTTGTGATTCGGACATTGCTATATTGGCATGGAGGGTAACTGGAAATTACGCTTACAGTGCAGGCGTATAAAAGAATTGAGTCTTTGGAAAAAAATCAAATATTTAAACCACAATATCTTTAGAACTAGATGTTGTAAATCTTTGATATTTCAAACTCAGATTACTTGATCTAACAGAATTCATAGTTTGAAATATTTAAGGTATGCAATATTTGGTTCCAAAGATAAAGTGCTATGAAAATCTCGAGATTGTGGCTAAGACTCAATTCCTTTGACACAGTTTTATATCAATTTCCCGAGGCAGGAACATCAGATATAACTTTCATGGGTCGCGATTAAGAACTAAAGCGATTAGCTTTCAGCCTATACCCATTCATTTTTCCTTTACAGTCGCATTAAGCTCTAATCTCTCATTACTTTGCTTGGAAAAAAACTATAAAGTTAAGGAACCGTAGAGGTAATTTTAAGTAACACTTTATTTAAAGAGGGGCATGTATGATTCACGACAGTAAACTTTAAACCTTTATCTGAAAAAAATGATGGAATTATTATTGTTTTTTTATCTAAATATTCAATTGAAATTTTGTTTAAAATTAATCTGCGGATTTTTGTTGTTGAGAAACACACTCAACTAAACAGAAGGTGAAGGTCAATTTTGTGCGACATCACTTGAATTCAAAAATCGGTTTTACACATAACTCTGTTAGTTTCCCTTCTATTCTAATTAACTTGAGTTTATTTTCCCTAAAAACATGACAGCGCGAATACATACCATTGTAAGAAAGTTAAGTGAAAGAAAATTACATTATACGGAAGATTTCGGGGGGCTGAAACGTTAAAATGTTTTAAAAAATTTTTTGGGTTTATAGTAGGAACAATAAAAACGTGGAAAAGGAAGACAAAGGAATTGAGTTTTTGCCACAACCTCTGATTTTCTATTCCTAATTTCATCGCAACCCAATGTCGTAGACCTTTAATATTTCAAACTATGAATGATGTTACATCAAAAAATGTAAGTGTGAAATACCAAAGGTGTACATCATCAGGTTGCAGAGATACAGGGATTAAAAAATCAGAGTTTGTGGCAAAAACAAAACTCTTATATGCAATCTTAATTGATGTTGATTTACAGGTAGATTGCAATTTCACTTCTAAAGTAAAATGAGTCTGTGTAGTATGTATACAGTGCGAAATGGTTGTGTTGTGTGACAGTTTAATCATTAAACCCTGAAAGTTAATCATCAAATATTTAGACAGCCTCGACTTTATAGTGTCACATCTCCTTGTACATTTTTGAAATGCTACGCGTTTAATTCTGTTTTTTTTTTAAGTAATTGGCAAAATACTGTTTTATTTGTGCGTTCTATTTGCAGTGGAATCAAGTGTAAAATTGTTCCGATTTCACAATTTTATAGTTCCCGCTTTTATATTCAAATATCTGAATGATGTTGTACAGTAGGGCAAGAGTACTCTGTTTATGTACAAGGGTACACGCAATCCTTGTACCGTGAAAATCTACAGTATCCTGGAGATACAAGTGAAATCCTTCATGTTATTCCAGGCAGGGACTGTAACAGGGTTCAGGTAAAAAAATACTTTTTGTTATAAATTTTTAAGGGAGAGATCATTTTCGGCAGGGTTAGGAAAAGTATTGCTTTTTTTCATTTCGGGTTTTAAATGTTACCCAAATTAACGTAATGAAAAGACTCCTTTCGTAACTTTTTGCTTTTAACTTGTAATGAACTTTCATAAACTACCATCATTATCAAATTTTCGATATACTGCTTTCAAATTTTGCACCACATCCCTTTAACCTTTGACAGGCAGGGAGGTGGGGAGGTCGTTTGGCGCTCACTGAAGTATTTTAGGCCCTAGTACTTTGAGATTATTACATTTCTTGACTTCCAATAAAAATGTATGTAAATGATTCTCCCCCCCCCCTTAAATATTGAAAAAGAAAAATATGTGTCACATTTTGTTATTTGCCTGAACAAAATTGTTATATTTAACATTTTGCCACCCGTTTTCTGTTTGTTTTTTCACCTCTTTCTCAGCACCCGATCCGACTAAAGTTAGTGGTTCAAAAGAGCTGGCCTTGAAAATTGGGACTATTAAGATGTATTGCAACTTGCAAGTTGATACCTTTATTACATACTCTTTCCCAAACATAGATCTTGACCTAAAAGTCATTTTAGGATTAAGATTTGGATTCTATTCTTATCTATTGTTAGGTTTCCCAAACATAGATGTTTGGGGGGCTTTCCCAAACATAGAACTTGACCCACAAGTCTTTTTAGGATTTAGGTTTGGATTCTATTCTTATCTATGTTAGGTTTCCCCAATGCGTGAAGGTGGACCTGGAAGATTGGGAGCATCTCATGGTATTATCTTGGGTTGTCTTGCTGTTATCCTGGTTCTTTTAATAGCTGTAGTATCTTTAGCATACTGGAGGTAAAGAAAAATGCACTAGATTTATTTTTATTTAAAAATCTAAAAAGGTGCCCATGCCATAACAGTTTTGTTCTCTGTACATATCGCAAAGATGGAAATGTCGACATCATGATTGTTTATTTCGCATTAAAGTATTATTTGAGCAAGGCGTATTATTTACAAATCGTAGAATTATGGAACAAAATGCGATTAAACTCAAAAATAGAAAACCGAACGCATCTTTGTACTTTGAACCATGGAACTAGATTACAATGTATTAATATATTTAGAAGAAGTGTAATGAAGAAAAGATTTTATATTCCTGCCTATGGAGGATGTTCCCATCAAGACGACATTATGTGGGATATACAGGTACAAATAATGTTAAATTCTATCATTTTAAAACACAAATAAAGCTGATTACACATCTCAAACTCTGATTCTTCAATCTGTATATAATTTTGCAAACTGATTTTATAAAAAACTTTGATTATTGAAACTAAGACTGCATGGTAATACTGGTTCAAAAGTAAAGATGGAAATATTAAAGCTCTTCACAACCTGGTTGCAAAGATATAGGGATAACCAAATCAAAGTGTAAGACGAGTAATAAGCTCATTTTTCAAACTCGATCATTTATTAGTAATCCTATTTTATGTATAATGGTAATTTAGATTTTTTATAAGATATAAGTGAAATATTTAGCACGTGAAAAATTAAATGAAACCAAAGAATGTGAATTTGCCACAAACTCAAATGTTCTAATCTCTATGTCTTCACAAACTGGTAATATATTTAAAACTTAGATTATTTGATCTATCTAAGATTTACGACATTGGGATGCAAAGATACAGGAATTAGAAAATCAGAGTTTGTGGTAAGGACTCAATTCCTTTAATTCAATAATTTGATATTTGAAGGTGGGCGGTGATGAGAGTGGGCGTACCTGTGTCCAAGCTGGTGGATTTCTACAGCACGTTCAACTTCTTCATGCAGAGGGAGATTCTGGTTTTCATGAAGAATATCAAAATATCAAACAAGGAATAACAGGTACATTATTTTTGATTTATTTATAAAATTTGAATTTGATTTTTTTAATACATATACTTTAACCTTTTTTCCTCTGGTAAACTAAAATTTTTCCGGTTTACGTATACTGATAACTGAACAGCTCTGAAAGTTATACATCAAATTTGTAGACACCCTTTACCTTTATTTTTTTGTAGCACTGAACATTTACAATCTAAGATTGCAACGCGCAGGAGTAATTAGCAAAATACAGCTCGATTTTGAATCTCCTGGTTCACAGTGCGTTTCATTATAATTAAAACATTGAAAAAAGATTCATTTCTATCATTATTACACCGGCTATTAGTGATATTGAGCCTGTTATAACGAAGACGACACTGATAAAGTTTTTTTTGTTTCCAACGCACTATGGACAACTTCTTGAGCTTGTGAAATAAAATAAAAACAAAAGTATTTATATTCCACCATTTGATGTTTAAATTAATATCCTAAATCCAACCCTGGCATGCCATGCAATTATTCCATCTTGTACAATCCAAAAACACAGTATTTATATTCCACCATTTGATGTTTAAATTAATATCCTAAATCCAATCCTGGCAAGCAACGCTTATTCCATCTTGTACAATCCTAAAACTCAGTATTTATATTCCAACATTTGATTTTTAAATTAATATCCTAAATCCAACCCTGGCATGCAACGCTTATTTCATAGTTTACTGTTACCACCGTATCAAAGAGATAACAGAAAAATTCTTGGAAGACTAAAATCCCAAAACTGAGTTTGAAAAGTAATATCCAGAATCCAACCCTGCCAACAGGTGGAATATTTTGAAAGTTTAAAAACTAGAAACCGTAGAGAAATAGTTTATTTTAACTTTGGAGATGGAAACTTTAAAATAAAGGAAATGAGTTGAGTTTATTTTCTCTTTACAAATTATTGGGACCGAATTTAATAAATTCGAGCTACGTTGCTCAACTACCTTCTATCGATTCAATTCAAAGTTAAAGATTAATGAATGGGCTAGCATCGGGTATTTAAATGAAATTGATATTTTGTTTCAAACTTGAATTTTTTAATCCTAATATCTTTAAAATCTGTTGGTGTGGGCCTTTGATATTTCAAACGTAGATTTTTTAATCAAACATAATTCCTAGTTTGAAATATCTAAGGTTTACAACATTGGGTTTACGATATAGGAATTATAAAATCAGAGTATGTGATAAAGACTTAATTCCTATGAAGCGGTGCGGCGGTACATGGCAGTTCAAATTCATTAAAAAACGATCCAGCTAGTTTTCCCAGTTTCCGTTGTGAATCAGGAATGTTTAAAAAAAGGTTCATTTCCATCTTGGATTAACCAGGCCTAGACGTGTTCGGTTTCATCAATTTGGATTATATTTCAGTAAGAGTAAGGAATTAAGTCTTTTTCACAAACTCTGATTTTCTTATCCCTATTCTTTGCATTCCAATGTCGTACACATTTGACATTTTAAACTATGACTTCTGTTAAATCAAATAATATAAGTTTGAAATATTAAAAGTGTCGGACATTGGGTTCCAAAGATAAAGGAATTCGAAAATCAGAGTTTGTGGCAAAGACTGAATTCCTCTGCAGAGTTATCATTTTATACTTTTTCATTTTAAACTCATCCCCGAACAAAAAGTATAAAAAACGAAACAAAAAAACGAGAAATGTATGTTTAAATGTATAAAAACGTCAACTGTTGGAGCATGCGGGGAACAGCGTGCTTCAAATTCACAACACTTTTTATTTTCTCCGTAAACCAATGTGGTTAAACTTTATAGAGTAAAAATATATTTGTTTTAACCAATCAGAAGAAAACAGCAGTATGTCTAATCAATGAGGATTAATCAGTGTTAGCTATTGCTAACGAAGTTTTCGATATGTCGACCTGCCTCCTGTTAATTTAGATAGGGTGAACACATCGGTAGGATTTCTTCTGTGTTTACATGATGTAGGGTGACCTTTTAATTCAAGGGACTGTAGTCGTTATTCATAATAAATGTCATGTCCAATTCACAATGGTACCTTTAAAAGCTTTGTCTGATCAAGATTAAAAGAGATTGCCGTATGTATCCCTTTATTTGCGATTATATTTATGACTTCTCTTCCGGAAAACTCAAAATTTAAACTACCTGCGCATTTCTACTGCAGAAACCACATAGAATTGATCAAAATAAAGCATTTTTAAGTCTAGAAAAATTACGATATTTTTCACATTATTTATCTTTTAAAGGTTTCCAGGGTAAATCTGGCATTGTCATCTTCGCACGGAGGGATACTTGCAACATTTCAAGGTTCAACCTGAAATATAGGTTTTGTATAGGGTATTGTTGTAGATCGGATATACCCCTCTTAAAAACACACTCTTAATATAGAATTTTCGACGAAATCTTTTAATTTTTTTTGCCTTTTCGCATTTTTATGTGTTTCGCAGTTGTTTTGTTTTAAAACACAAACAAACTAATCAAATCAAATACTAATCCCATTAACAATACTTTTGAAAATTCTTTGACCTACAGTATACATTTTTACAGTAGTCCTCAGAATCAAATAAAAAAGATTTTTCCAAAGCTGATGTATATTTATTATTACAATTTATTCAACATTTTTAACCAGTATTTGATTCAATAGTTCATCGTTTAAAATACGCTTAACTCCAAGAAACATCAACTCCTTCAAGATTTGATATGTTTTCATCTTTAATATTCTCCTTCTGTCTCCCAGTGTCTTGATATAATCAGTTATCAAGATTCCTGCGCCTTTAATTTGCATAACTAGTCTCTTAAAGGGACTGTTTCCCTCCGTGCGAAGATGACAATGCCAGATTTACCTTGGAAACCTTTAAAAGAGAAAACAATGTGAAAAATATTGTCATTTTTCTAGGTTTAAAAATGCTTTATTTTGATCAATTATATGTGGTTCCCTGCAGTAGAAATGCGCAGGTCGTTTAAATTTTATGTTTATGCACAATGGTGTAAATCTTTTTAAACTTTTATCGACTTTTATATCTATGGAAGTAGTATTGACTTTATATACAACTTTTAGAAGACAAAAATATTTTTTTTGCCTTTTTAACCTCCTCCCCTCCCACTATTTCTGTGCAATCTTGACATGAATTCTGCATTAACGAAGTTTGTAAAAAATGTTTAACTTTTACTGATGTCTAATCCCCTTGACATCAGTCATAAAAGTCATGCAAGCAAAACTTCAAACTTTTTTTATTTTAAATATTTTCTTTTGTTTCTAGTTTTTTGTTTTGATTTACCTTTTCCCATATTCAGTTTCAAAATGGATGAGAATTAAATATTAAAATTTAGTCATAAAAGGGGAGGAGGGGGGTCAACTTTCTTTTTAACTTAAGGAGTGGGGGGAGATAAAAGGGAATGGGGGGCAACAAAGATATTCAAATTAAAATTTTTGATAAAAAATGTTTAAAAGGTACTCTTGTTAATCGAGAATGGAACCCTTTAAATGCTCTTTTTAGTTTTCTAAAATATGGTTTTATTATTGAAGAATTTTGAGATTGATATTACTCCGAAAATAAATTTAAAGTTGAATAATGAAAAAAATGTAAAATATGTGTGTTCTGTCGAAAACAAACTCTAACCTTAATATCCGCTCTTTTCTTGACATGCTGCAGTGTTTTTCTCTTCTGTTTTCTTAAAGAGAGTATGAAAATTTCGGGGATGTTCTGGATTTTCTTTTCAATATTTTCATAACTGTCTCGATCCACATCGGAAACTATGTTCCAATTTAATCCAGATTAATCCAGATTAATCCAGATTAATTATTCCTAAAGCATAAAGCATAAATTTTGTTGTTCTAAAAAAGCACTGTCAGTAAAAAATATTTATTTGACTTTACTTCGATATGTAGCTTAATTAAATTTAACTATAGTAGAAACATATTTTAAAAGAACAGTGTCCGAATTTAATTAATTTAAGCCGCGTCTCAAATTCCCCCAAAACCGGTTTAAATTGAGCGCCTGCTTAAAACTTGAAAAATTGAATACAATTTAAACCGCGGCTCAAATTCTTCAAAGTCGGCCTCAGAACTCCCTGCCGAAAAAAATATATTCGAAAAAATGTTATTGTTTTCTTTGGCTTTATAGCTGACCCACTTTCTCCTTAATTTTATATATCTATTAAATGTCAATATAAAGAATCTACTCTCTCATTCTATCTGTAAATAGAAACTTTACGGTTTACAAAATAATTGTGTTTGAACTTTTTATTTCAAATCAAAATCACTGATAGCTAGACTTAGGTTATTTTTGAGGATTAAAATGAAAGTTTTTACATTTAGTAAAAAAGATGGTTATATTTATTATTAAATGTTTAATATCAATGAAAGAAATTCAATATAAGTTAAACTTAGGTTATTTCTTTAAAACAAATTTCAAATATATTTTTTATTGAAAATCCACAACATTTTGTTATTTTCCTAAAAAAACTGGCTTCCAGTTTTACTTTTTGATAAATACCCGGGCTGGGTTGACTTGATCGGTTTCAGTCAGTCCTAAGATTGCTGCAATACAAACAATAAATTCTTCTCTTGGTTCAGCTTGCCATCTCTCCAAACATGTACCGAAACAACAATCTATTAGACCAATAACGGGTATAGAAAAGATTAAAAATTGTCTAATATTTGGTTTTAATAAGACACAAGAGGATCCCAGTATATAATTTAATTTTGAGACGACATTTCAATCAACTTAAATTTCTAATTATCAATTCACAAAATAATTATTTTGGAAATATTCTATTTATTTTTGGAGAAAATCCGGGAACCAATCAAAACTTTATAGCACACGTGCTATATTGTAACAGCACGCTTATTATGAAGTTCACGATGAAGTGAGTAAGAATGATAAAGTATACAATAGTTTCTTAAAAAGTATTACGTCTGATTAGTATTTTTTAAACGGGGTTCTAGTTTCATATTTTATATTGTTGAGCAACAATATTGGGGTAACATCAAAGATTTATTGAAACATGGATAAACAGGAGAACGGAACATCATAAGTTGTAGTAGATTATTTGAGTCAATAGAGATGAAGATAGCAGGGAAGAGAGGAAATGAACCAGAATGGAGCAGTTAGACTGGAGCAGCCAGGATGGAGCAGTTAGACTGGAGAAGCCAGGATGAAGCAGTTAGACTGGAGAAGCCAGGATGGATTAGCCTTATTTATATTGTTAGATAAAAATTACGATTACGAAAATCAAGTACAGGGTTATTCATAATGCATTATTGGTTCATTATCGACAATTATTTATTTCCTTGTTGTTAACTTGATTTAGTACTAAAATGTAAGGAAGGCTTGACCTGAATAATCGGCCAACTTACTTGGGTTCAAGTCTAAAGATAGACATTCGAAAGGTTGTTTATATCTATTTTTAACTTTTAATTGCTTTTACTAACAAATTGTGTGTATTAATCAAAAGTTTAGAATATTAATTTAAATGATGGAAAGTCTAAACCTATAACTCGCTACAATATAAGTGACGAACTAAATTTGATGCTAAAGTAATTATTTTCTTGTTTCTCAACATCTGCGTCCATTTCAAAGGTACAAAATGATTGGTACTACATGATAATCCGCTGGTATAATATTGTCTAAAACTAGGAAAACTAGGAAACATTTTTTAAAAAATCTACTAAATGTGTTGAAAATGCATCAAAGGATTCTTGTTCCTTGAGCAGAAATCCCCGAAGATTATAGTTGTACAAAAGGTTTAATATTGTAGGAAACCCTGTGTTGAGAGTACAGTCCCCAGGGAAACCGGTTTCTATGAAAATCTACAATTTAGACAGTTTCCAGTCTAGGTTAGTAAAATTCAACTCCAGTGAAATCTATATATACATATGCATAAAGTAGTAATCTCTGTTTGATTTGGATGTCCTATCATAGCTTATAAACCCCTTGACAGATTTGCCTCAAGTTTTGATTTGGGAACTCGGGAGAACCACGGGAATGTTCATAGTTTGGTTCTTAAATTCTAAGTTGTGTGGGTACTTTATATGGAAAAATAGCTAAAATAGTAATTTACGACCAACCGCAGGTAAACGGCGGGAATAACTTTTTAAGTACCCTGGGCAAAACTATATATAAAGTAGTACTCTCTGTTTGGATGTCCGATCATAACTCATTAACCCCGTGCTCGAATTGGCTAAAATTTGTATTGAAGAACTCGGTATAATAACGGGAATGTTTTTAGCTTGGTTTAACAGTTCTAAAGTTAAATATAACGACTTTTACAGAGAAAGCTTTGATTGCAGGCAAAGCTGGGTTCCCAAACTAGTTGTTTCATATGTTTTTTATCAGATTTTTGGCTTTTAGGCTTTTTGGCTTTGAGAAAACACAAATATTTTTGAAGTGTTTACTCGAATTAGCAATTGCTTTTTTTTCAAGTAGATATCCAAAACTATGATGTAGAAAAGCCTTTCCTAACCACGAATTATCATTTAATGGAAACATCCTAAACTTTTATTTTGAACAAACGTCAGAGAGTATTTATTTTCAGGAGTTGCTGCCTGTACCTACCTGAGAGTATTTATGTTCAGGAGTTGCTACCTGTACCTACCTGAGAGTATTTATGTTCAGGAGTTCCTACCTGTACCTACCTGAGCCCTGGAGTATAGATCCAATAGAGTTCTGGATGTTCATTAATAAATCAGGAATCAACACAATCGTGTCAGTTGATACGGAGCTGGACAACCTCTTCCCAAGGCATTAACCAAGTCACTGACATATCATGATTTTTAAAAAAGGGACTGGACACGTAGTTTCAAGTGAGCCTTCACTTACAGATTTTCATGTCTTATTCACAGCGTTAGCCTTACCAGCCTTGTCTGATCAATTATTTAACTAGTGATTATTCCTGATAACTGATTATTTCAAAACTGCTGTTATTTGGTTCTTACCGTATTAAAATAAGAATAAAGATATAGGTTGAACTGGTTATTATCCCCCAGAGAGCCCCGAACCTACGGATCTCTAGACATTCTACCTGGAGCTGAGAGATCGCACCCTTCATTTAGAATCCGACGATTCAATATTGATCAGAGGAGAGGAAAGAAGAGCGGATCCAGGTATATATGTACAAGGTGATCCATAAAGCATGAGACCTTAATGATGAAACTTTGCTGATATAACAACATTGTCATTTTTATTTGTGGTTCTGTCTTGAATATAATGGTTTAATTATATATTAAATGATTTGGCAATGAAGTAAAGAAGTTTACAACTGAAGGGAACCTGCAGTATCTTGTTGAATACAAACTAAATAATAAGTTGAACTGTTAATCAGGGGTTGTATAATGTATATATAGTTTACAGCTGAAGGGAACCTGTAGAATCTTATTGAATACAAACTAAATAATAAGTTGAACTGTTAATCAGGGGTTGTATAATGTATATATAGTTTACAACTGAAGGGAACCTGCAGTATCTTGTGAATACAAACTAAATAATAAGTTGAACTGTTAATCAGGGGTTGTATAATGTATATATAGTTTACA